TGTTTCACTAGCTATCCTCATCACTAAATTTATTTTCTCCTTTGAACTTGTTTCATACTTTGTGAAAATATTTTTTTAACCAAAATTTAAAATGTTCAACGTAACATAATTTATTTCTAAGTATTTCATTTTACACAAATCAAAGTAAAATTAGTTGTAAGGTCCACTACTGCAATTCATCATCAAGCATTAAATCAACAAATAAACCCACACACGGTTGAGCTAGAGCTGTATTTTCAGGTATACCAGTATCTGCTTAAAGGAGCTTGAAAGGGAAGCACAACATAGACTAATAAAGTATTCTACAATTTTAAAAAAACTGAATTTGATGAATTATCAAGCTATATGCTGCTCTAATCTATTTCCAATGCTAGACCTCAACATTAGTGTATCTAAAGTCCTTAAAAATCCCTCACACTCAAGCGAATTAACATGTCAGTGAAAACAATTAATACATATGCTATGAAGCTAAGAGTGCTTTTAATATATTTAATACATAATAAAATTTTAATGCTCTCTTATCCTGGAGATGAATTGAGAGGCAATGATAACTAGTCTCTCACCTCTATCAAGATATTACCAGTTCTCAGTTAAGCAAAACCAGTCCAACTCAGACCTTTAACAACGCTTGTGTCAAAGTTTTGCTGGCATCTACATGCAGGTTATGAAACATTTTATCTTTAGTCTAATACCAAGCACATTAAAAAAATAAAATAAAAAGAAAGCCTCCCACTGATTTCACCTGGGGTTTGATCAAACACATTGCCTCCTCAACATGACTTTGAAGTACTGTCCACAATTATAACACCATAAAAATTCAAAGTAGCAAGGTAGTTTCTTCCTCTCTATGTACATACATAAAAGGCTTTGGGGTTTTGACCATGAGGTCATTCTTTTGAAAGGATTTTTTTTTCCTTTTTTAAATAACCAGATTTGATATCCTGTATCAAAGAACACTTTACATCTTAGTCTTAAAGGGCCTAAAGCTTGATCACATTAACCTACCAGTAAGTTCTACAAATAAATACCAACCACTAACTGGTCCCTCCTTCCATACATTCAGAAGAACACTGCACTATATACAGAGGATCTGACAAAATTAAGATTTAGCTATCTGAAATCAAAGGCACGAGAGCACAGGCATCTACTCTGCTTCTTCCAAATTTCAGGAGAAGTATTTCACCTTCAAGTTTCCAGCTACTGATGTCTACTACTTCCTGCTTCTCTGCTATGGCAATGTGCATTCTTAACATACAAAAAAATTGCTATATTTTCACAAGGAAATGATCTATTTTGATAAATGAAAAATTTGTGGGTATAAATGCGAAACATTTTTGGGATCAAAACTATTAAAGTTTTTTTTAGTTCATCAGAAGTATGATTTCTAGCAAAAAGAGCATCTTAAAATCCATTTAGAATTCAAAATGAATGCTACATAAAATAATTATAAATAGTCTGCCCTGTGGTTTTAGGTTCATACTTGTCTTCCAGATTTTTATAAAAATATACAGATAGCCCAAAACACTTAATACAGCATTTGAATATCAAGCTTCACTTGCCTGATGCCTATATTGCATCCAAGAGTCTGATATCAGAAGAAACAGACCAGTAACCCAAACAGTGAAATTAACACGCTAAAACTCACTGCTTGAATGTCTTTACATATTACTACATCTAAACTAGCAACAGTCCGGAAATAATGAAATTTTAAAATGCCTAAACAAATTCAGCACAGCTTTTACATGCACATAAATTTTAACACTATCTTCAACTCCTTTATTATAGCTGCTCCAGCACTCACTGAACATCATTATAGTTCTGACTGTTTGGCTGGCTTAGCAGTACAACTTTTCACACCCACCTTACAGAATACAGAATATGTCTAGTAAGCATATCTTACATTTTAATCTTGAAACGAGTACAGACTTGCTTCTTTGATGAGGATTTCTCAATTTGGTAACACTATTCATTACAAATTGGCTTTTTTGTGTGTGCGTCCTGTAAAGGCCTTGGGGCAAGCAGGATTATTCCTATTATCATGTATATATTTTTTAAAAAAGTAAGTCCCAAACACTGCTGTGCTTGCAGTATCCAATTTTTTCAAGAATGTATGGTATGTGGTAAGCATTTTGCTACGCTTAGAGGGAGGTCCCCATGGATTTGAGCAGCACTTAGAAATATTAAGCATTTCTACGAACACAACTAGGTTTCTGAAGCTACGAGCCCAAAAAATGAGACATGTCACTACTAAAGGTATTGTTCCAGGGTCAGATGACTAGTCCATATTTAAGTAGAACTTCAGCAGAAGTCTGGTTTTCCTTTCATTTCACAATAAGCCACCCATTTCTCCTTCCATAATCTTCTACCTTTTCCATTATCTTTTCCAAATTCTGCAATATTTAAGTGCTTCACAACACAGCTTTGACTCCTCATCCATACTGAATGACCAATCTTCACGCTAAGTGAGGCAAAATACACCTCAAAAACTAGCATACAATCAAGTTTAAAAAAAAAAAAAAACACACCACAAAATAACAACAAAGACAGACTTCTATCATGTCTATCATGGACAACACTAATCTGCATTTTCAAGCTTCTAAATGTTTTAACTTTGTTATGAACTTTCGTTCTGGGTTGGTTTAGATTTTTTTTTATTCAAAGAAGAAATCTGCAGAGAATACAGCTGTCCTACTGTAATAGGCCTCTGCTGAGAAGACAGAATTTAGTGTTTGTTTCTCCCTTCCCTCCTGCAGACTTCTCTCTTGCTAAAAGTTTCACAGCAACAGCATAAATTTAACGCTCAGATGACATATCTTCCAATTATGTCCTGCTCCGAAGAAGACACTAAACACTTCTCAAAGATGATAGGCAAAGCAATTAATTTCCTCCTAAACTCATTCTGAAAACTGACAAAATGAAACTGATTAAAATACTTATTAAAAAACCAAGTTCTTAAAAAACAACCTGAAACAACTTCCCCACAATCAAAACCAGATACCTAATAGAGAAGAGGTCTAAAAATGTTAAATAAAGTAATTACAGAAGGTATATGCAATCTTGACTAAATACTGATATTTGTATTCAATCTTCATTATCCTTGTAACTCATTTTTTCATTTTAGTAACACATTCTGCAGGTTCTTCCTTCCTCACTCTGCCCTACATCCAAACTTTATCTTTCTCCTTGTCACTCTTTGTACGTAAACAGTATTATATGTTCACAGTTCCTATTTCACTGAGATACTAAGCATCAGAAATACTTCTGTTATGCATTAAAATGGAGCTAACCCCATCCATAAGAGTTTATTGAAACCTAAGGATCTTTGTTCCATTACTAAGCCTGCCAGAGGAACATATGCAGCAAGTTAACACAAATCATTTCATGCACAAGTTCTATTTATAAAGCAATTCTTCTACCCTAGCTATGCAGCATAATATGTATTTTGTCATCATGGATATAAGTACTGCTTTCTCTCAAACAATGAAATTAAAAACAAGACATGGCATCTTTCTCTTCCACATGATATAGATCACCAAGTTTTATAAGTCTAAAATTGCCAAGTTAGGAAGAGAACTTAATGTACATTAGATGCAACTATGAATGACTAAAATCATCAACCACAGAGCATGCCTCTGAAGTCTATCAAGGTTATTCTTTCAGGAAAACTAGAAAATGAGGCATTTTAAAACTCAAATTCAAGAGATCATTGAGGTTAAAAAACAAACACCACCAAAACAAACTCTTAATTCATATCTCCCACTCCATAGGATATTTACCTTCTCCTGCTTGACAAAAGAACAAAAAAAAATATTTTCCTCTGCTACAAATGCAAATAAAATGGGACTCATTTCATTGTGCTTTAAATAAGGCTTTTCATTAAATGTAGTGTTCATAATCTTCAACTGTATAATATATCTGAAAAGAATATCCATCCCAATTCTCTATGCTGCAACATTTATTATCCAGTGGAAAAAAAAGCACTTTTAGTTCAAATATCATAACATTATCTCACTGAGTTAGTTTTGGATTGCTGAACTTTCCAAAAAATTACCTTAGGGACACAGTAATAGCGCAAAATAAAACTAGTTTTGGGATCATAAATCCTCACATCTCCATCCTTCCTCCTATACTCAAAACCAGAGAAAAACACTATATGCTTAAATTTAAACCAGTAAAAACAATGTTGGCTAACTGAACAAGGTGCCAAGCTGAGACAAATTGGCATTTGCAATACAGATTAAATGAAACAAACCCATTTCAGCTTCTCTGATACAACATACATATTAGAAGAATCAGAAGGCTACCATTTTAATAATCTGCATATGAACTAATGATTCTATCAAAAGAACTTCTGAGATGCAATAAAGATGACATTTGTTATTTTTGGTTAAGTATTCAAAATTAGAATTCTTTTTTAAATAAAACAAACATACACATTATAAAACAGTTTTCCCAAAATGTAGTATTCTTCAACTGGCTATACTTTTTTAGCTCTTTGGAAAATAATCTGTTAAAGTGTTACAACAAATTATGCACCTCTAACATGCTTCCGTGTTTAAGTGTTTCACACATTAGATGAAAACCTACTGACTTCTCATGGTTTACCAGATTATCTCAGAAAACTAAAATGAAAAGTAACTTCCTGTGTAATCTTTGAAATGAACTAACAGTAGTATAGATACTGTACATATGTCTTTTTCTATTTTATATATTAGTCAGTATTCTGAGTAACAACAAAATTGTAAATTTCACCTATTAAATGTAGCAATGAATTTGAACAGTTAAACACAGTAAAATAAACAGGTGATGGTTAGCTACATATGTCAGACACATTCTCACTCTTCGAAAGCATTCCTCTGAGTGGAGAAACCGGAAAAATAGGGTCAACATCTAGGGAAGAAACCATCAATGCACACACGGCATAATAAAAGTAGTAAATAGTAAATAGTAACTAAAAAGCACGAATTCCCCATTAATAAGTTCAGTTACCTTTACCATACCTTTATCTGCTGTCTTCTAAGCATCGCAAGTTCCCTCATATCTCGAAATGGCTGTAGTAAGTACTGGTAGAGCTCTGTTGTAGCTTCTGCAAGACTACTGTAGGCTTCATCTTCCATTTGATATAGTTCAAGCAGCTCTACCATGCTTTCTGTGTTCTTATGTTTTTCCAGAAGCTGTAGAAAAAGCGCCAATTTTAGTGAACATATTCAAAAATGCCTGCTAAAAGTGACAGTCATTTTAAAAATATTTCTTAGCCTAGCCTCTTGTACTATCCTCCCTCTTCCACAAAATTATCACTCAGACAAACTAAAAAAA